CGCCATTGCTTCAGCGTACTACCCAAATGAAGCATAGCACAATGTGCCCATATCATGGCAACTTGAGTTCAGAATTGAGCTGCCAACTGAGCCGCGGCTATATCATGCTATTGTATACGAAGAGCCTCAGAGCCGTATTTCTCCGGGTACAGCACCAGGGGGGGGATGGAGACAGTCCTTGTTATTGTACACCTGCGAGCGAAACCGCTTTCCTCCTCGTCACTCTGTATTGTTGTGTTTTGGACGCACGGGCCACCCCAAACTGGTAAGGGAAGTGGAGCAGCTTATGCGATACATTAGTCGACTACAAGCTGGGTATTAACCAGACCTTAACCGAAAACGTGTCCCTACGCCATCGCCAGGCAGTTCTGGTTCTGCCACAACTCATGATTCGGGACATGATTCACAGTAAGAAGGCAACAAGTCACCCATGGATGGAGGAATCTAGCAGACGCGTCAGGAGCCGTCGACTGAAATATTCGACAACCGAGTTCGACCCCAAGGACGACCTACGAGGATAAAACAACGGTTTGTCGGCTCACACCAGCTGTTCGATGGCGCTCAGAGGGCAGCAACCAACCACAACCAACCGCGACCAATAATAGTCACGATGCCTTCCAGTAGGTTCCCACAGCACGTCGGGTGGCGACAAAGTGTTCTACCCCTCGAGAACATTCCGCAAACATTTCTCAAGCTATATGTTGGAGACATCCCCTTCTACCTTCCGTCACAAAGGCGTAATAATTAATATACTTGGCTTTTTAAACCTCCGTAATCCGTGAATTACTCTGGGAGGGCTTGATGCGAAAATCCGATGATTATTACGCACCCGTTCAGGCAGCCAATCGCGATGTTAAACCCAGATACCGCAGATACGGAGTGCCGATATTCTTTGGGCAGCCAGACCAGGTTCTTTCCAATCCATGTGATCCAGGTGTCGTCTTCGCTGATGCCTAATAAGGAGTAAACAGCAGCCGTTGCATTGGCTACAGGGTCAGTGGGAGAACATGCAGATGTCTCTACTTGTGTGTAGATAGCGCCACGAGCGGTCAGCACCCGTGAAGTGCCGCAAAAGGACAGGCGCAACGAAGTAAAGCCCACATTGAATGTCTGCCTGCACTCGCCCGTAGCCACGCGCCAGAGCCGTCCCGCGATAGATATCTATACACCCTAAGGTAGATGACGATTGGAGTCAATGTCTACAGACACTTGAGGGCCATGGCCAAGGGGTCACGTCGGTGGTATTCTCGCACGACTCGTCACTCGTAGCTTCGAGCTCGCATGATAAGACGATACGGGTCTGGCGTGTGGCTACAGGTGAGTGCGTGCAGGTAATTGACGTTGGTTTTACTTCGTCTCGCTTGGCGTTTGAATCCCGCTGTTCACGTTTGCTGACCGACCGTAGTGCTGTCGCCATACAAGTCAAGGTGTCTGAAACCTCTGGCAGTGAACAGCCAGTCAAGGGTATACCTTCTTGTAGCCCACTTTACGGCATCAGCGAAGACCGTTGCTGGGTTACATGGAATGGACGCAACTTGCTCTGGCTACCGAAAGACTATCGGCCATTCGCCTCTGCAGTATCTGACTCTATCATCGTGATAAGCTGCGAGTCCGGGAGCGTTATACTCATCGGATTCTCGCATCAAGCCCTCTCGGAAGACTTTGCTGCTCATAGTGGTCGAGGCCGCCAATAATATCCAGTACAGCAGCTTTTGTGAAGAGAACAGAGGAATACAGGTTTAACGTACGAAGCGTAGCATTGTCGAGGTGGTCCTGTGAGCTTGGGAGGAAAACAAAAGGGCGGTGACGAATGGGTCCGTAATGGAGAGCCAGTGCCTCAGTTGAGCTTCGGTTAATACCTATACGTATCTGCCTGATATAAGCCACCTCACCAGCTACACTTCCAAGAAAATTAGATGGCCCGTGCGCTTAAAATACAACAATAGAGAGTGACAAGAGGAAAAGGGTTTCGCTCACAGCTGTGCGAGCTAGGCTAAAACCGCACTATATGTATGCGCGGCTCTTTAGACGGTTCTGGAAGCCGGTGAGAAGACGTCCAAGATATAAATCAGTCAAGTCCCTTTTAGCCTTATTTACAAATTTCTCGTAGAAAGAGCGATAAACTCGGGCTCTTGTACGTACTTAAAACACCGTTAAGTGGAAATTCCGATTACAAAAACTCTTCCCGAGTCACAGCCAAGTGCGACTGTTGACCCACGGGTTGATGAGCAAGATGGCCGATATTCCACCGGCAGCCAGAGCAATTTTTTCCCATTCCATGTGATCCAAGAATAGTCTATGCTGAAGCCGCAGCCAGTGGCGTAAGAAATAGGCGAAGTTCTCTCGGTAGTGAACGCCCCAACGTCTGTGATGAGCAGCAAGTTGCCAGGTTCGAAAGATATGCGATCAGACGCAACGGCAATGTCGAGTTCCCGGATACACTTGCCTGTATCGGCGCGCCATAGCCGGACTGCCTTATCGACCGACGTGGATACTACTAGCTCCGAGTCGCGAGAGAAGGCTACCGACCTAACCCACGTGTTGTGGCCCTTGAGTTCTCGAATGCACTCGCCCGTCTTGGCACACCATAGCCGCACCGTCTTATCGTGCGAGCCGGATGCCACGAGCGCCGAGTCGTGCGAGAAGGCTACCGGCCCAACCCAATCGCTATGGCCCTCGAGTTTATGGATGCACGTTCCCGTATCGGCGCTCCATAGTCGTACCGTCTTATCGTATGAACCCGATACTACGAGCGCCGAGTCATCCCATGAGAAGGCTACCGATGCAACCGAGCTAGTATGGCCCTTAAGTTCTAGCATATTCGTTCCCGTATCGGTGCGCCATAGCCGGACCGTCCGATCGGCCGAGGCCGATACCACGAGCGCCGAGTTATACGAGAAGGCCACAGAGTTTACCCGGCCTCGATGACCCTCGAGTACCTGGATACACTCGCCCGTATTAGCGCGCCAGAGCCGCACCATCTGATCGTCTGAGGCCGAGGCCACGAGCGCTAAGTCGTGCGAGAAGGCTACCGAACAGACCCTGCTCCTATGGCCCTCGAGTTCCGGGACGTATGTGTCCGCATCGGCGCGCCAGAGCCGCACCGTCTGATCGTCTGAGGCCGAGGCTACGAGCGCCGAGTCGTGCGAGAAGGCCACAGAGTTTACCCACTCGCGATGGCCCTTGAGTACTTGGATGCACTCGCCCTCGTTGGCACGCCATAGCCGGACCGTCTTATCGAGCGAGCCGGATACCACGAGCGCCGAGTCGTGCGAGAAGGCTACCGAGCTGACCTGGCCGCTATGGCCCTC